CAAACTGTTAAGTTTAGAAATGTAACACATGCCACAACACTTTATGAGCTAATTTGCGTGTATAGTCTGAGAGGAAAGGACAGAAAACTATAAGAATAATACTATAATAGATACAACCCAGCTGCATGGCAAAATTCCTTTAATTTGAGTGCTAGAATGGTCTGAAGATGTTTTATATCAAGCTTCTTGTTTGTACATTAAATAGCTTGGGAGAGGCATCCATTTGAAAAAAAAAAAAAGGGCGTTTCAGCCACTGTCTAACCCACTATCCCTGGCTTATTCGCCTGTACGATCTTGTGCCAAACAAATGCCTATAACTCAGGCATATTAAGTTGTATGGATGCCATTCTGGCAGTTTAATTCATGACATTTTGGGGAACAACGCTTTAGGGCTGTTTTTGTTTAAAATATTTTTGAAAAGACGCTCTGTGAAAAAAGAGGGAAATTGGCTAAATTTGAAAAATGGATAAAAGTGTTTGTTGAACTATGTTTAATAAATCAAAACCCTAATAGATACAGAAATAATTTTCAGACAGTAAGAATGAGCAAGCTTTGAGGAACAAGTATACCAACTTTCATGTTTTGACCCAAAAATGTGGCCACAGTGACGATGTAAAAATATTGTTTGTTTTGAAAGATTTCAACCTGAGGCCTTTTCTCAGAATCAACATTTTCATGTGCCCGAATAAGTCAGCCAAACAGCTAAATCATAAATAATACAGAAATAAAATCAAATAAAGATTCCGTCACTGACTTCCATTATAAAACCAAAATCCTTTAAAAAAAAAAGCTTCAATGAAGTAAAACTGTAAAAGATAGCAAAAAGATGAGTTAATCATTAATACCAGAAGGGTGCGGAAATGTTTTGAAATTTGGATGGTATTTCTAGCTAAAAGTATGCAGAAGTGGTTAAAGGCGAAAATAGCTGAAATTTTAGTGGAATTTTGGCAGAATCCCAGTCTATTCTATGGGCCAAAAAAATGTCATGATTATTGCAACATTTATAAAGTGGACCGTCACATGCCTACAATCTGAATTTAAATGCAAAATATGCCGTTTGATCAATGTAAACAGGAATGCATTGGATAACACACTAGATTGTTATGAACACTTGCAGCCCCTAGATCTGTTTACCAGAATTCCCTAAATGACTCAGAGAAAGGTAAAAAAAAAAAAAGGAAGTTCAGAGGAAGCGTGATTTGGGGCTGATTTTTCTGAATTGGGTTTACAATGGTTTCATTGAGGACTGTGCTTAGTCATGTTTTGCTTGAGGATAAACTTACAGTTTCTCTTAAACACTGATATTAATGTTGTAGATAGTTAGATTATAGGTATACATTTAATTTTTTCCCCCACTTTGATGTTATGTGTTTAACTGTCTTTTACAAAGCTGTGAAGCATGACAAAAACCTCCATAGCCTGGTTGCATTCCGGTTCACAGTCATATTTAGCAGCAATTAAAAAGTTTGTCATTGCTTATTGGTGTCAGCCAGAAGAAAAATAAATCCACAAAAAAAATGTGTTTATTCAAAGTTTAATGTTTCATTGAAGAATAGGCGAGGGGAACTGGTAGTGAGACATGCAGGACACTGGCTCTGACTTTGGATACATCTGGGTGGAAGTGGGAGAAACACTGGGGAATACTTGTAATGATGGTTCTTGTATAGTAAAAGATGCTCCCTTACCCCATTCAGGAAGCTGCCGATCATCTGACCGGTGTAGGCTGTCACTTTGGATGATATTTGGTTCTGCTACATCTAACTGGTGGAAAAAAATGCTTCTACAATGAAAGATAAATTATTTGCACTTACGTGTATTGCATGTAAACTTCTGACCAACTCTGTGGCTGTTACAACCAAATGGTGGAAACAACCTTTGTTTGATGACTAGTGTAAGGAAGTTATAAATCCAGTGCTTAAAAGGGCTCAATTGTTCTTAAAAGCTTAAGAAACACTGCAGCTTTGACAAAGTATACATTAAGTAAAGGTCCTGTTTGAGAGAGTATAACGATATATAACAGAACATATTGGAAAATACTAATCCAGACTTTAGGTTTTACAGAAAGAAGAGATTTAAAATGTGAACAATTGCCCCATATACAGCTGCTAGCACCACAATGAACCTTTGTTGGGCCATGACAAAACCCCCGTTCTCCAGTAAGTCAACAAACAGATCTCCATGGTACAAACACTGGACAGCACCATGTGCTCACCTCCTAGCTGAATTGTTGGCTGGATTCTTTGATCTCTGATGATGGAGAATGCGCCGGGAAAAGATGTGACCATTTTACTTTAACTTAAGATTCACCAAAAGATGGAGGCAATTACATCTCCTTCAACTGAGTCAAAACTCAGAGCTGATGAAGAGGAGGATGCCATTGCAACAAAGATACTGGAGATTATAAATGGGAGCACTGCTGACACTTCAAAAATGACAGAGGAAGATGAGGACAGAGAGGTTTGGTCAATGGAGATGGGAGATGACTCTGTGTTCTACAGTGATGAAGAGCAGATTCACCAGGACAAGGAATCTGCCATTTTAACTGGTTCCAGAGCTAAAAGGTGCAAATATCCTGTTAATAGTGAGGCAGATGGTGAAATTAACCAACAGATGGAGGGTAATTCAGGAGTGAAACGTTTTATTTTTAAAGAGAATTCGGAAATGGAGAAGGAAATGACCCAGAAAGTAATTTGGACTGAAGAGGAAAACCAGAAGCTTGCAGCATTTAAAACTAAAAGAATGCACATATCAGACCCCGAGGAATCAGCTGCAGAGTCTGATGTGACTCCTGGAAAATTTGTCAAAACCTCTGGAGAGTCTGAGCAGCAAGATAAAGTGGCAGCAAATGGTAGGACATGTTTAAGGTCTACAGTGAAAATGTTTCAATATCTTTCATATGTAAATGCATTCTTTCCTTTTTTTAGTGGATCAACAAGTTAAGAAAGAGGAACCAATGACAGAAGCTGACACTTCAAACCAACACCTGTTACTCAACAATGATGGTTATGCCAGGCTGAACAGGGATGCAGAATTTCCTCAAAGACCGTCTGAAGCCGACTCCCAGAAATCAAATGACATGCAGTTTATGGGAGAAGAACAAGCCGACTCTCTGGAAAACCTCAGGCAAGGTCATTGGAACCTGCCTCTGCCCAAGAAATCTGACTCTAGCACCTTTAACCACCTCGCTTCCTCCAAATACAGCACCGTCTCCTACCGCAGGATCCGCAGAGGCAACACACGGCAGAGGATAGAGGAGTTTGAGTTCTTATTTACGAATAAAAAAGAACCCGCTCTTCCAGAGCATTGAGTTAAAAACATGTGGGTTAAAGCTCTACAGGCTTAGAAAAATCCCAGCTGTAAAAGGTATTTGCTAGTCGTTTCAGAAACAACTGATATCAACTACAAACTTGCATCTATTACATTCTTAAATAAAACCCAATTTAATTCTATGTTTTAAAAAAACTGTAATACAACTACTCAGTGATGTATTTAAGTGTACAGGTTTGCACACATTTAACATTCTATTTATTTGAATCATTTACCAACCAATGGCATCATACAAAAAATTGGTGGATGTTTGAATTTAATGTTGAATTTCAGTCCAGTGGTTATGACTATATATAGACTCAAATACTTCACCTATATTTCATTCAAGTTACCATATGAAGTTGTAACTAATTTAGAAACCCTTTATTCTGTGTGCAATATGCACTTTAACTCCCTAAAATAAGAACTTCTTTTGCAGCTTTCCTCTATGTGTTTTTAGTCCCATTATCTTATTTTTCTGTTCATTTCTTTTTACAGACTTTTTGGGGCTTCTTGCATAAATGTGGCTGGATATTTGCACTCCACCTTAGGGAGAAATGTTGGAATTAGCCTCCTCTAACCTGCTGTGATAGGACTCCTGTCCTGCTGGGACACCAAGCTGAGGCCAGGTTTTATCTAGCTGTTGATTTGAGCCAAATAAAGACTTTGGAGGTAGTTTTCCTTACTCATTATCCAACAATTTGGGGAATTGAGCTCACGGCATGAGGATGCCACCACCATGCTTGCTTGGTTCCCACTGTAGCCTTAATTTTGGCTTATAATAATTCATGATTTGTTGAAGTCGTGGGGGTTCTTGAATCTTCAAACCAACTTCCTTCCAGTAAATGTGAGAGTTTGGGTTAGATGTTTGAAATCTGGACATAGTTGTGCCCACCCCCCTCCCATAAGTAAAAAAATGGTCAAACATCTGTGCATAAGTGAGCTACACACTACATAGAGGGTGTGGTTGACTTACTGAAATATATAAACAAAGATCCTCAAGAAACAAAACAGGTTATTAAAGCCCACATTGTGTAAAGCAAATCTAAGTAAATAACTACATCTGGTCAGGAATGCAAGTTTGTTTTATTTTGTGATTTTGTTTGAGATAAAGCTTGTGAGGTAAATCTCTTTTTATCTTTGATTTAAACTCAGATGAAAGTAGAAATTCAATAAAGTGTTAAATATTGTCATTGTTAGGGTTCTGTTGTCCCATGGCTAAGAACTAAACAGAATAAAGAAATGTAGAAATACATTTATTATTGGTTTAATTCATTTTAAGTTGCCTTTTCTATCAGTTTTGCCAAAATAGCTCAACAGCCACACTTTGTATCACCACACAGGTTTAGTTAGGGGCCTGGACCAACACTTCCCTCTAGTGTTAAGAAATCATACCATTTAATGTTTTCAAATCATATCAATAATCCAAGAATAAAGCATTTAAATCAATATAAGCAGCATAAAGTATAACACGCCCTGAAACCCACAGCATTTTTTCCTTTACATGCAAAACAATACATTTTTCATTCTTTATTCAGTCCATGGAGAAACTAAATGTGAGATGCTATCAACCATCAAAATGGGAACTTATCCACAGATATTCCATTTTATTCCCAGTTTAAAAAACAAAAACATTCTCAGTATTTTAAATATTTTTTTCTTTTAAAAAACAACCCCTCACCAGCTGATTGATATTTATACAAATATCTTTCAGAAATCTGCTTCTGTATTCCTCCAGTCCATCACGTTTTGGTGGCTGGATCACAGTCCAAGGCTGTAGTGCCACTAGTTGTTTCCACAGAGTATTTTAAAGCTCATCATTTTACGTAGTAATGGGTGAACTCCCACTTTTGGAAGACGCTGCTGGGTTGACACGGGCGTAGACGAACCGAGTCATCCTGAGGTTCTGCTTCCAGGCACATGTTGGGAACAAACTCTGAGATGAGGTGCTCCGTCTTTGGAATTACAAAACAGGAATTACAATTAATGCACAAAGTTCTAAGCATATCTATCATGTCACTATGGCAGCAAAATGGAGAACTTACAAGAGTGGAGTGCGAGGTTTTGTAGAACCAGCGGAGTTCATGTTTGGTGTTGTCACACGGCAGCAAAGCAAAACCGCTGCCTGAGTTTTGAGACCCAATACAGAGGTTCTGCTGCCGGATGTTCTTCATCCAGGTGTAATTAAATTGCTGGTTCTGAATTAGCAGAAATAAGACAGGAAGAGTTAATGTAGCGTCTTTGTGATGTTGTTTGTTCAATGATGTTGTCTGATTGACCTCTGGGGCATTCACAAGACAGGAGCAACTGGTTCCCCTGGTTTAAAATCCATAGGGATCCGAGTATAGAGTATATACAGGAACACCTATATTGAATTCAATACCCTTTAATAAAATTGCTAAATTTTTTATAACATGACTGTGAGCTGCAACTGAGGTGGAAATGTTCAACTTTTGTTAGAAGTAACCAATTATATAGGTGTTAAACTGCCATTTTTTTGTATAACGTTTGTTGACACAATAACATGGTAGACAGACGTCCCCATTTTGGACGACATGTCCCAGGTGTTAGTGTCTGATTAAGAAAAAAAAGGGGACATTTTGTTCACATCAGCTATCAAAGCGCCGATCATGCAATTGTTAAAATCAGTGGGCCAACTTTTCTTCACCTGTACTGTGATATTATGATACCGGTGTTACACCAAAATATGTAGTAAATACTAATCTGTGGCCAATGTCAATGCTGATATATTAGCATCTTTAATAACTTGTCACATTTAGAAACACTGCAACAAACTCAATTTAACAAATATATTTTGCTTAAAGGGGGCAAACCAAATTATGATAGTATTGGAATAAGGTTGTGCTATAAAATATTGCATTTAAACTTGCCTTCTTTTTGGTTTAGTCAAAAAAAAAAAATTACATTTTAGAGACAATTACCTGCCCACAGTTTTTAAGTAAAACATAAAACTAAAACAAAAACAAACTTAAAAGCGCACTGCTGATGTCAACATTTTAATCTGCTAACCTCTACAATGAGGATGTTTTAAAGTGAGTGTAGAATGCTTGACTATGTGAACTACAGTCCTTTCTAGTTCAAATTTGTGGACCAGGAAATAAACAGACATCTTTTTTTCCACACCTTGTTTTTAAACACATGCTAAAGCTGCCTTATCCTTTGTAAAAACTCAAACCTTTTTTTTTATTTAGTAAGTTTTGGCTTCCTTTGGTTCCTAAAAGTTGGAATAATAATTACAGTTTTGTGCTGCACAGGCTATGTTAGTGTTTTAACCAAGTCCAATATAATGTTGCAGCACTTTAGGGCCAGTTTTCTTATTTCTATCCTCTTTTTAATTTTTTAAGCTATGGCTTTTTTTAATTGTCATTAAACTGTCACAAGTACAGAGCAACAAAATGAACTCCCAGCATTTAACCGATCCCCTTGGGGAGCAGTGGGCTGCCATTGCCTGAGGAGCAGTGTGGGGTTAAGGGTCTTCCTACTTCCTACTTTTCTCACAACAGAAACCTTCATTTTCCACACCTCCATGGCATCATTGCAAGTTTTTGTTCTTGTTTTACAAAAATATGAGAAATGAAGTTTAGTTTGGCGCATTTCTTCACTTACTGAACACCCGTCATTGAAGTGAAGAGCAGCCGAGAAACTGGTGGTCCCTGTAACTGACTCCTGTGAGCCAGCTGGGGAGAGTTAAACAGGTATTTAAAAAATACCTTCTCGGGTCACACTTATTGCCTCAGATGGACTTTAGTTTTTAAGATTTCTTTTATTACCTTTTAATACCCCCCCCCCAGGTAAAGAAAGCTAAGCAAAAATGTATGGTAATCATGCATATTTTTTCTTCCCTTTCATGATCATGCATTATTCTATTATGCTCTATCACTTAAAATACCAATAAATTACAATGATGTTTGTTGTGATGTGAAATATATGAAACGGTTGGGAGGGTAAGAATACTTTGCACAGAGCTGTAATTGTTGCATAATTACAGTGCTGCACACCATGAAGGCTTCTGGATACTAAGAAATGCCTCAATGAGGGGGATCAGAATCCAAAATCATCAGATATAGAAAGCCTCCATCTTGATCCCCACCCTTGTTTGTCATGGCTTTGGTCCCACTTCAGACTAAATGCATTTGTGTAAGTCTGGTTTTGCTTTTTCTTAAGTCAAGACCACAAACTATTTTTCCCCCTTAAAAGTCAAGAGCTGAAAACATTTCTCAAAATTGGTTGTGAAATACGGATTAAAGAAAAACAGAACTTACCGTTTTGCTAAGATCACAGATCTCAAAGAACAATGAATCTTTCTTCAGTGCAAGGCATTTTCTCAAGCCACGATTAAAGACCTGGAAAATAAATCAAATGCTTAGACAGATAAGACTGCAGCACTGGAAAGGTGTTTTAATGGGGAAACTAATAAAAAACACCTGGAGACAAAGCAGCATAATGACTTATATCTGATAAAAGCATAAAAGCAGCACTCTGTCATAACTCATGCACATACCAGGCCCTCAGCTTTGACAACAGGAGTATCCATGTCTGGAAACACGTTCTCCAGGTACCACTTGAAACTTTTGCATTTGAGTCTCTTCCTCAGCTCAATCTGCTCTGTCAGGTTACCAATGTTGATGACCTTTTTATCCAGCAGGTGTTGGTACCCGTGGCCATAAAAAAGGTCTTTGTACTCATCCAGCCAAACCTCAGCCACTCTTGCCAGGTTACGCTCCACTGTCTTCTGCCGGTCCTTTGGGAATTTGTAGGGATTCTGTCCTCGGAAAATGTGTCCCACACGAGAACAGGGGATGATTTCAATCTCTCCTCCACACATCCAGATCTGTTGAAAGCAGCAAGCCTGTTCAGCAACTGGCGCCACAGCGACAAAAATAGTGTGACCACAGTGGAGGGAGTCAATATAAAAAAGGATGTTTACCTTAAATGAAATCTCCATGTTCTCTCCACCCCACACATCCAGACCAGGGTCATAGGCACCGAGCTCATAGAAGTACTTTTTGTCAATGGAAAAAAGGCCCCCTGCCATAACTGGACACCTGAAAGACCAAAAAGACAAATGGTTTTACTGCAGGGACCTTAACAATCAACCACAACCCCTCAACACCATGTCTCATTAACAGAGTTAAAGCTATAGATGATTTACAGTTGTTATAGAGAACCTCTATCATTTTTTTGCTCAAAGCAGAATCACTGCTGAAGGCACCTGTAATACCACATGTAGTGATTGCCTTAGATTTACAAGCTGAACTGGTAGCGATTCTGTCAAAAATACACATGGTGAACAAGAGGAATATACAGTAGCAGCCATTCAGAATGGCCCTTCCCAGTCAAAGGCCAACTGAATTGCAGCCCACTTCCCGGCGACTACCAGCAAAATTCCCTCCAACTTCTAGCCACTGGCCTTTTCCTGGGCTTGCATTTTTTTCCCCCTCTAACTCCACCCTTTCACTGAAAAACAGGGTCTGACCAGGAGATGGCGCTTCTCTTTAGATCTTAAAGGGGTTATAGAATTATTATATAGGGTATTTGGTGCTGGTCCTTAAGGTCTCTGAATAGGGTGTGTAACATTGGTTAGGCTGAAAATGGCTATTCTGAGCCCTAATGCAAGCCTGGTTATAAGACTCAGAATTAAACGACAGGTTTTCTTCCTTTTATGGTATGCTCATGAATATTTAGATGAGCTGTGCGCTGATTGGTTGGTTTACAACGGGCGAGGCAGCTGAGCAAAGATGCATCATAGCAACAAGCACTCACTCACTCACTCACTGAACCATGAAATTGTTGATATGGTAGGGTGACCAGATGTCCTCTTTTTCCCAGACATGTCCTACTTTTCATACCTAAAAAAAACTTCTGGGGGGAATTTCAAAATCGTCCGGGATTTTGGTCGACTACAGTGCAGCAGGTAGTCGAAACAGGGAGCCAGCGGGGGACGGAGCTACCGAACGTGACCCAGTGACGGTAGCCTGGACAAAGGCGGCTCCCACCTACCTTACTGGGCAGCCGGGGGGGGAAGCATACCGACACCGGGTCGAGTTCGGTCCAGTTCACTTTTTATGGTGGAAGTTCAGAATTGTGAGATTTGCAGAGAAAGGAGGTGTCAATGGGATTTGAACTTCTCTGTACGTCCATTTCCCCCACTGAATCATTATTATTCATCTATGACCATGTAAACTCGGTTTTGTATTCTATGACCCCTTTAATGTCCATAAATCATGACAGAATATAAATGAAATAAATGAAACTTAACAAATGTTAGATTTCTTTGTTTTTATGGTCAGTGAAGCTGATCTAATAAGACAAAGCAATTGCTATATATATAAAATAAAGAGAAAGGAAAGGGGATGGTGAGGACAGTACCTGATTGGATCTGTATCTTTCATGTTGTTCTTCTTAATGACGTTCTCTGGTACTGGGCTCCAGCCAAACACCAAAGGCCACTTAAAAATCCCTCTTTGGAAGTTGTCAACAAGCATGTAACTGAGAATAACACAAAGCCCCTGTTAATGCATTTCTTGCAGAAATCCCGGGATTTGCTAGTCTGTTATCTTAAACTCAAAGTTACCTCATGTCCTTATCGCTGATGACTTCAATCACTGGACAAGGCACCTTCTTGCGATCCAAATAGACCCTCTCCAATAGCGGCTCCAACCAGCCCACATTACATTCAATGTGGGAGTCGAGAAAGGTAAGAACCTCACCTGTTAGAAACCAAAAAGCCTGCTGCAGGTAAAACCAACATTGACCTGCTCATCTGGCAATGCAAATCTAAACATACCTCCAGGAGCAGCAAGTGTTACGGATCCATGTAAAGCACAAACAGGAAAAACTCCAAGTGGATTGAAAATTTACATAAAGAAATTTTTTTTTGGTTTCTTTGACTTACACTGTCCTTTTTGTTGCACACAGACAATTATACAAAAGTAGCAGGGTAAAATATGTAAGCAGGTCTGCTTTGACAAGGTGACATTCCTATTTTTCAGCCAAGTTATGCTTATTTATATGCTGCTATCTAATTTTAGATCAAGAGATATGTGTGGCTTTGCACGGCCTGTAAACATAAAGCCCTGTGACTGCATGCAATTTATGATCACACAGCACACAGGTACTCAATTAAAGCTTCCAAGTCTGTCATAGGGATCTTATGTTACGCACCAGCATGAATCAGTTTATAACTGGTAAATATAAGGAAACGGTTACCTTATTTTTGCAAATGTATCACAAATAAAAATCTGAAAGTTTGATATGAATTTCTTTGCTTTGACAGAGGGTTGAATACATGATCCTTAGTTATGCCTTCATAACTAAGCTAGTATTAAAATAAGTTAGTCTAATGAGTCCAAAACAGTACTTTCTGCTACATCTGTTAAAAATATGTGTCAGAGAACTGTCTGAATGTATCACCATCCTTCAGTTTGAAACAAAGTAGTGGATAAATTATGCTGTGGTGATGGTTTAGTTAAACAGGATTAATGGAGTACTGACTGATGGAAGGCTTTAATATTGATATTGCACTCTCTTCAGTAATGCCAGGTAAACACTGTGTGATTTTCAGCTGTGGCAGATGAAAGGCGAGGGCCTTTGGTAGTGATGGTGAGATGAAGCCTCATGAGACATTGAACCTTTTGGCCAAATTGCTTAAACGATCCCCACAGTTCATGAAGCTTCATGTGAACATGTGGAGTGCATAACTACAGTTAGAAATATGATCTGTGATTTTTTGTAATTGTTTATGTTGTTGTTTTTTTCCATTAAGGTTCCTTTCAAATTGCTATTGATTGGTGTGTATAATAAAATTTTTAGTAAGGTTTTTTTTGTGTGTAAAATGTCTTAGAAGAGAACAATCATTTAAGGTACCCTATTTTCTGCCATTTTAGTGAAATGAGCTCAAGCAGACAATGAAAGTGTTTGTGCAAAATGGGCAATGAAATTAGTAAAATGAAATGTGTTAGTCATTTTTATTCAAAAATAATAGTTTTTCCAGTTTTTGGTTTTAATTGGGTTGGAAGTTATGTGATCAACCAATCTTTTGGTTAAACCAACCAATCTAATTTGGCGCAGTTTTTACCCAGTCTATATTTGTACTCGGTCAAACCAATACAAATTAGTCGCATTAGCCAAAATACTTGTTAAGTATAAGCGCAACTTTCAAAAGTCTAAGGTGGGTCTCAAACTTACAACTTCACAAGTGGAAGTCTTTGTCTTACAGCTGATGTGTATACTGCCTGGAAGCCTCGGCTGATCTCATAACATCACTAGCCTTTGGAAAATCATGGAGGAATCTTTGGTGGTAGCTCTTAATCTGTGGTCTAACGTCGCACTGTGAGGCAGCTTCTAGGATGGCTGTTTTTAGCATCTTGTGACCACAGATAACCGGCGATGATTATCTAACAGCGTCTGATATTTAGAATGACAATCCCACTATGTGACAGCTGCTGTGACCTACGTCTACTGATCAGCCAATAGAAATGCAGCTGCTGCTGGAGATGTGCCACTTAAAGATCAGAGAAGATGAATGCAAGGCAATCTATTTCTAGGATATATTCTGATCTACTAGATAATAATCCACAACATTGAGCTGAAAGAACTTTTATAAGGAAAAGAGTGAGGAACGGAAGAGACGAATGAATACAATTGACATGTTTTGGATGATTTCTGTCATTGAGAACCTATCCTGTGTCCAACAAACAGCAATATAGAGAATCAGCTACGAAAACAAGCAGGTGCATCTTCACATTTCACACCAATCACAAACCAGAGAGAGCTACTCTTCTCAGATTGTAGCCTAAATCCAGATTTGCTGGCCAAATAGTTTGAGCAGGAAAAACATATACATATCCTTTTTTCTTGAAGGACTTCTTTATGCACTTGGAGAGGACTGATGCACTAAAGAATTAAGGACATTTTTACCAAACATTTTTTAATGCCTGAATTAAGCGGACATTGACAAATCTCCTTCATTTGTTATTGTAATAATTTTATTCAGCTCTTCTGATTGTGTTCATGCTTTGGGATTGAAGATGCAGCCAATCAACAATTTTTGATTGACCATATAATCCAGCTGGCTGTCATATTTGTAATATTCCACAGAAAGGCGAGATTTTGTACCTTCAACTCTGTAAACTAGTATCCCAAGTCGGTCTGTTTTCCACAGCCAATTCCATGTCTAATTCTCCTTTTTCTAAATTTGATTCAACATCAGGCGGCACAGTTTGATGTGTTACGATTATCTGGCACACAATGATAACATTGGTTATTGTTGTGCATTTTATATTGTAATGAAGTATTAGAGATAAAAGAGGGGAAAAAAAGAGTGTAGGGAGGGTTTAGCTATTTAGAAAAGAATATAGGACAAAATTAGCTTCTCGAAAAGAAAAGCAAGAAGATCTATACTTTCTAGTAGCCTTGCAGGTTTGATCAAGGTGAATGGTGGTGCTAGTTTTGACCCAGGAGGGTGTAAATCACTTGTTTTCAGACATTATATTGTTGATATTATGTATCATTTTCCTTCCATCTCGCTATTCTGCTCTACTCCCTGATGGCCAATCGCATTAAAACCGACTAAATTATACTGAAATTTGTGATTAAATGTCAGAAAATGTGAAAAAGATCTAGAATTCTAGAGTGATCAGCATGCTAAATAAACATGCCAACTGTCAGAATTTAAAAGTTATTTGATTGAACCCTAAAGTTAAAAAGAACATTTTCATGAATGATTGTTTTTTTTAGCATTATTACCTTTGGCAACAGCTGCTCCAGCTAGTCTGGCTCGGATCAATCCCTGACGTTCTTTGAGGCGAACGATTCTCACTTTGGGGAACTGTGACATGTACTTATCCAGCTGCTCTTTCAGATAGTCTGAAAAGGAAAAATGTAGAATAATAATAATATCAGTAATGAATGGGAGGATTTTCCTCTTTTAAAACGCTTGGAGTGTTTTTAACCTTTAGTACTGGCATCATCCACTAGAATAATTTCCTTGAGGAGGTGTGGTGGAGATCTGTTCAGAACGCTGTGCACAGAGCGAAGGAGCGTGGACCACACCTCATCCACAAAGCAAAAAATCACAGTGGTGCTGGGCAAATCGTCATGGACCAGACTCTGTGCACAGCTGGAAGTACAATAAAAGATTCAGACCAGAGCACTTTGTCGTTTCGGGAAGAGATTCAGAACAGAGTACTTACGATTCTGGCCTGGTGTCGGGAACGGCCCGGTCCACTGGGATCTGATCACTGAGGTAGACGTTGAAATGACCCTCGTCCCATCTCTTCATCACCTCCGCGTCTTTGCTGCCGGGGAGGATCACCGCCTGGCCGAACTGGCCGACGGCATTGGGGTCTCTGGGAGAATTGGTCGCATCTAGAGAAAGCACTTTGTGGACCCCCGGCTTTCTGACAGGGCTGGAATGATTTCCTGACATGAGGTTGACATCAGGCTTGGAAGAAAGTTTCACCTCCTCCTTTCTATCTACATCCTTTACGAGTGTTTGCTGAGATATTGTCTTAACAGGGTGTGCCTCATCTGCTCTAGGCTGACTCACTTTTACGCCATTATTAACAAGATCCTCCTCCACCTTTTTACCCGTCTTTGAATCCTTGTTGTCTGAAGGACTGTGTGTAGATTTAGCAGCTTTATCAAGGTCTGCCTTTAAAACATTTTTGCTTGTCCTGAAAGCTCGCTGCATTTGGGTCACATTGGCCACCGCCACTTTCAAATCAAAGTTCACAGCCTTCTTCTTAGGAAGGCCTCCTCCATTGTTTTCTTTAGATAAATCAGATTTGTTTTTGTCACTTCTGAGAACATGACCTTCGTGCCCCTGGTTAGATTTCTTCACCTCCATCTTTGGATCCAGCTCATGTCTGTAGACTTGGTCCAGTTTGATGCCTGGGTTGTGCTCCACTTTCCCAGGATGTGTCACCCTCTGCACTGGATGTTTGAACCCCCTCCTCTTAGGCTGGGTGAAGCCAATATACTGCTGCTGTTGTTTCTTCATCATCATGATCTCCTTCTCTCTGATCACCCTCTCCCTCAGCAGCTGGCTGTTCACGTCGTTTATGGATAGGCGCAGAGCTGCCATGTCAAACAGCAGCCAGATGACAGAAGCAACAAACACGAAAGCCAGCACCCTCCCACTGCCCCGCAGGTATCTTCGTACCTTCATCATTTTCAGGTTAAATATAAATAAATAAATAAACCCTACATGAGTTTCATTCTCGAAATGGAGCGAACTTTAAGGAAGTTTAGTGCCTGCGTGGCATTGTTTCCCCAGCAGTAGCCAGAGCTATCAGTCAAGAGGCTGACAACAGCCAGGCGACAAAGTGGGTTTAATTCCTCCACACCGTCCCGCTCCGGTCACGTCCAGCCACCCGGAAACATTTTAGCATTTAGTCCGAGACGGATAGTTCGACAAAAACCGTCTAAGTTGGAAACAACTCACCTAAACCAGCTTTTTTTTTCTAGCGGCGTGTTTTCCCCGACTGAAAAAAACTTTCTTTAAACAGACACTATAGTTTTGTATGAGGACGTTGCAACTGAGGTTTACTCTATCCGCGTTCTGATTGGACAGGAAATGTGGAACGTGTGGCCTCTGAGGTCCTGGAAAATTTCCGGAGAAAGATGGGAGAATACCGGAAGTAGATTGTTTGGCCTTCAGAATAAGATACACTTAAAGGACCAGTTAATAATTTTCGTTTTTAATGAACAAGTTTTAAGTTTCAATAAAACTTGAATGAAAAATTTTAAAAGAGCGGAACTAGTAGTAGGAATACCTTTTTATTAAGAAATGTATTTTTGTAAAAAAGAGAAAATGGATTCTCCTTAACTTCAGTTAAGCTGGTGAAGGACCAATTTATTACGGTTAAAATCAGTGTTAAATCAGAGAGATGATAGAGAGATAACGACTACCACAGTATGAATGCCTATGTATATATAAAATACAGTATAAAACAGGGGTACTGAGAGTCTTTGACTAAAGACATTGTAAAGTACTAACTGTTGTCCATAAAGCTCTTTATTTTAAGAGAAATTATTATTGTGTGTCAAATTGTTTTCAGGTTCTATAAGTTCCTATACAGAGCTGGCCTTCGTTGTTAACTTGTCAGGCTTTATTAAATAGTTTACTCTGATGCTCTTATCCCAGCAGATGATGGCAGAATAGATCACCTATTCGAGGTGCCACAGTCTGCTTTGTGGCACCTCATACACATTTGAGTCTCCAGTGGAGTCTGCTGTCTAGATGAACACAAATAGGTTCCTGTCAGAGTAATTTTCAAGCAAAAAAAGAAGATTGTGTATAAAATTGATATATTAATTCTTTCTTTAAGCTAGGCACATTTTGATTTTTACACCTTTTTTTTTAATATGTTAAAGAGCTCTGTGTATGCACCTTGATGCTCTATTTCTCCAGTTATTTTCCCTGAAAAGAGATCACTTGGGACAAACTCTTTAATTAGCACTTCATAATTTATATGTAATAAATAACCAGGAGACATGACAGCAGATTCTGATAGAAATTGTAATCTTACTCAGATCAGAAAAATTGCTTAGAATGTACAGAAGGCAGCTGCTCACCTCTCAGGAAGTGGCCCCGATTAACAGTTAAAAAGGCATTTTATACATCTCCAGTCTGTCACATCATCTTATTTTACATCATACACGTTAGCAGATGATTAGACATCCATGGTTCCAGCCTTATCAAAATATTACACTTTGTTCTTAGCTGAAGGGCACCGCTCTCATTCTATTTCCAAATTTTTGTCAAGTACAGAATGAAGATTCTAACTGTATATCCAGACAGAGGAACTGTCCTTATTAGATTAAAACATCAGTTCTGACACACAACAGGCAGCCAATACCAAGGTGTAATTAACTCACATATGTTTAGTGATAATTATCCTAAGACCTATAATGTCAAAACATTACCTAGACCAGATACAAAGAGCAAAAATCCCAGTATATTGTCTCTACACGGTACCAACATGAAATTGGTTTAAATATTCAGAACTTGGGTTAGAACATCCTACTCTAAAGTATTAGAGCTGCAGATATATTGGCCTTTCCTTGAGCTAGCAGATAGCTCTAGCCTTGACCAATTAATCTAGAAAGGTATGCAGAGGTCAAGAGGGATCTCCGCTGCAGGCATGATTTTAACTGCTCTTAATTATTTTTTAATTGAAGTTTTTGTTGTTGCGTGTTTTAATTAGTAACTCACTCTGTATACCGTATACCTTTATATATGTTGACCTGGCATAGCTTATCTGCTGTTAAAGTTTATATGATAGGTCGTCTAGAGAAGGCCTGATACTAAGTTAGAATCCACCAATAGCTGTAAAACCTAGAAATTCCGAAGGGCAGGTACCTCAACAGGTGAAATACACTACAGTTGCAAAGTATTATATGAATTGAATAGTCATAGACCTTTTTAACTATTAAGTATGATGGGAGGTTTAAATATTTAGGCGTCTTAAATGCTCACAATACCCTTCATTGTCAGAATCAGAAGCAAGTATTGTGTCCAGGGCAGCTGCTCCTATTCCCATAGAAGACACATGACAATTGTGCTACACAGCATGTGAAAAATCACAGGATCAGCTCTGCTCCTCCACTATTAGGTCATTCATTTACATTTTTCCCCTATTGTTTCTTTTGAGCACACTAAGCAGACATATAGCGAAATTTAAAATATAAAAATTAAAACATCTTAAAGTTGAGCTTAATACATTTTACAAATTTTATATTTGAAAATATGGACTTACAGCACTTATTACATCATGCCATTCACTATTTTACCTTTTAACCTTGTTAGCATTTTTTTTTATGTATACCTACAGCACATGACTATAAGGAAAAATGAAAGATTACAATCAGGGAGTATTAATTTGAAAGTCTTCACCGGAAATATGTTGGTAAATCGAGCTCCTCCAGCAACTTGACATTCAGTTTGGAAAACATACAGGCCATGAATAATCAATAAACATTTATAAGGGGCCTGTCTCTGTAGCTAAAAAGAGGCGGATGTATTTTTATTATTATTGGATTGTTTTCTTAAAAAAAAAAAAAAAAAAGTAATTAAATAAAGTTTTAAGTTACTCCTAACAGCATTTTGGAGGGTATTTAGATTACTGGATCATAAAGCAGGTTTAACCTGCCCAAACAAGTCCACACACCTCAAAATGTAGAATTACTTGATAAACAATGGATATTGCAGTACAGGTATTTGAGTGAGGTCATTGAACATTTGAGACATTTTTACATGACTTTTTTCAGGTTTCTGAAAAGGTTGAACAACCACAACATTATTATTTATAATATTATTATATCATTATTACAATAATTTTTCTCAAACTGTATTTAACACAGAAAATGTAAATAATTTAAAATAAGGATTTTTTTCATTACCATTTATTTTAACCCCTTTCAGAAGACTCAATAAAACTATGTAGACAGTAAAAACAACAGAAAAGCAACACCAAAATATACAGTATTTTGGTGTTGCAGTATAAAGAGTTTAAATGCAACAAAGTACTTTAAATCTTATAAAATAAAATAAAAAATGGTTAAAGTCTGTCATTGTAAGAAGTCAGTGACGGATCTAGGAAATTGTACACGGGACAAAATGTTTAGGCAGGGTGGCAATAACAGACCATCTCCTTAAAATATGTAAGTCAATCTCTCCTATGTAAATTGAATCAACAAAACACCCATCCTAAATAAATAAATAAATGAATATAATAGACAAATTCAGAAAATAATATATTTTACAATACTAGAATGATTTCAGAGATTGCTTTTTGGAGCTTTAAGGTGTCGATTACTGTGCTGGAGAGTAAAAGGTCTCACAAAGAGATTAAATCTCTGGATTATAATTTATACAGACAATAAATAGCTATATACCAGTTGGTCCAGTAGAACAGGCTCCCCTGACTCTGTGGCTTCCTTTTCTTCATTAGCACTTTTACCCATAATTCTTCTTTCTTTCTCTCTGAGTATGAAATCTTCTCATTTTCACCAATAATACTAACACCATTTTCCTCATCCTCTCTCATTTCTTCAACTCTGTATTTTCAGTTGCTTCCATCACCAGAAACCCTCCTTGTCCCTCTATTACTCTTCTTTCCAAAAATCACAATCTTTTCTTACACCTAATCCATCATGTTTTTTAATATATATACAAAAGAACCTAGTAATGTGTGCACTTTTATTTTTATTTATTGTGATCTGCAATGTGCAACCATCAAGATTTTGAAAAAAAGTGCCCTCTTTTCTACAGCATTCTATCACAATATGAAAACAGATTCTTTTCTAGATCACATTCACACTGGTCACACAAGCAGTTCTATTTGAAAATGTTACAATGGCAGCAAATCATATTAAATATACATGTATTATAATGTTCATTATATGTTCCTGTTAATTTAATACATAATCAGAAGGCTGTACGTGGGTTTTGGAAAAAGTACTTCCAAGTATTTGGATGACATAACAGTAAGGCAACAGTTGGGGAGGGTGAAGGCTGTACACCAGGTAGTCACTTCATTTGAATGGGATTAAACTGATCTCAGATAATAAAATCCCATATGAAAGAAGTTTCTAGAATTTTCTTTTTTCATTTGCATCATATTGCAAAAATAGAAATATCCTGTCGAGGGGTGATGCTGAAAAAGGCTGGGCTATTGTAATTCTTTACTATCAGGAAGTTCACGAACTGTAGTTAAAATACTTCAGCTGATCCAAAATGCTGCAGCCAGAGTTCTGATGAAAATTAAAAAAAAAAAGATCACAAATCTCCTATCCTGGCTTCTCTTCATTGGCTTCCTGTTAAATCCAGAATAGAATTTAAAATCCTCCTTCTCACTTGTAAAAGCCTTAAATGGCCAAGCTCCATCTGATATCAGAGATATGATTGTTCTTTATATTCCTAACAGAGCACTTCACTCTCAATCTGCAGGTTTACTAGTGGTTCCTAGAATTACTAAAAGTAGAATGGGAGGCAGATCTTTTAGTTATCAGGCTCCTCTCCTGTGGAACCAACTACCAGTTTTAATCCGTGAGGCACCCTGTCTCACATCCATCCATGAGTCGGATATCGAAGATAATTGAATTACTGCTTCTTCTTTTTTTTACCAGCACAAGAAACAAAATGTTGCAGAGATATAAATAACCTTTCAAATTAGTGTTATGTAAGCTGCAAATAATAAAGCGATGTTGAGGAAGACACTCAAACTCTACCAAAGTAGTCAGAACTATTATGTTGTCAATATAATGGAGTTGAGAGCAACAGTAGAAAGAGGTTTATTAAACTATACATCTTGATGCTGTCAATGTAGTAAATGAAAAAAGGAAATTTACAGTGAAGATTAACTAGTGTCCAGAACAGAGCCCTGAGGCACATCAGATCTCATTGGAAAAGACTAAGACTAAATCACTCTAATGTGGATGGAAGCAGTGCATCTATTTGGCTTTCAAATCAGTTTAAAGGTGTTTTTTACTAACGCCGTTACCTTTTTTTTTAGTAACGAGGTAATCTAACTAATTACTTTGACTGTAACTATAACGCAGTTACCATT